AACTTAAATCACTGTTAGAAAATTAGGGTAAATTATATAAACGGTCATTGAACTTTTTAGGCACTTGAATTTAGGTCTCCAACTTTTAAAACTTACAAAACAGTCCCCCAATAATTTTATTTTCTTATTAAATATAGATGTATAGAAAATATAAATGATTCAATTTATATTTAAATGTATGAATCATTTATATTTTTGATATATTTTATTTTTCTTGTATAAACTAGTATTTAAATATTTATATTTTAATCAAAATATTTCAATATACGAATAAAAATATTTATATAAATGAATATTTATATTTAGATGTATAAATAAAAAATATATTCATATATTAATGTATGAATCATTTATATTTTTTGAATATTTTATTTTTAATAAGAAATTAAAATTATTAATTATATTAGAAATACTCAACTTAAGATTATATATATAATCACGAATTATAAATATGAAAAATATAATTATTAAATTTAGTTTAAAAATATTTTAAATTTATTCTTTTAAAATTTGTATCAACTAATATTTAAAAAATATATTAAATCTATCAAACAATTTATCAAATATAATATTTTTTATTGTAAACAAATATAATATTTTCCCATCATTATTGCTTTCAAATTTTTTGCCGAAGTTCAAATCTCATTATTTCCATTTTCCATTATATTCTTTTTTTCTGGCATTGGTCATACTATTAGTATATGTATTATTGTATATCTCTTAACACAAACGATGATGTTAGCTTAGTGGCTCCACCCTGTATCTTTCATTTGCGTGACTCAGGTTTGAGTTTGCCCAAGACCCAAATTTTACTTCTTTGTAACTCAATTTTCTTCTAATTAGGTGGTGACATATGTCACCAATAACATATATCATGATCATGTGTTAACACATGTCAGATCCTGGTTAAATGATTAATTTATTAAATTTTATTTAATTTAGGACCAAATTGATAGCATATATAAATAATTAGGCGGTGACATGTGTCACCAATGACACGTGTCATGATCATGTGCTAACACATGTCAGATCCTAATTAAATGATTAATTTATTAAATTCTATTTAATTTAGGACCAAATTGATTATATAAATAATAAAGACTGAATGTATAATAATGTCAATTCCTTTTAACTGCCACTTCATTATTTGTATCAATTGGTAACGACTAGTGGCTTAGTTGAAACAGTTAAATAATTATGTTGTATGATTGATAAATTTAAAAGATCGATGACAAAAGTAAAAAGGGCTAGATAGTTAAGTTGTCAACCTAGTAGTTTACACTTTTATTTATACGTCAAAATAACATTTTATAAATTTAAAATTCGAATTATTTTCAACCTCTTCTATATCCTAACTACTTTTTTTAATTAAAAAATTTCTTCAACAGATAAGAATTATACTATTATATTTATATAAAAATACGTATCACATGAAATAAGATGAAATTAAATAATAATAAATCTGACATAATTGAATTTAATTGAATTATTTTGGAATTTAGGGTTTAGAATGAAATTGAATTACATTGGAAATTGGGGTTTAGAATGAAATTGAGGACTGTTTTGCAAGTTTTAAAAATTGGGGGATCTAAATTCAAGTGTCTAAAAAGTTCAATAACCTTTATATAATTTACCCTAATTTCTAACGGTGGTTTAAGTTAGGGGACCATATTGTAAACGGAATAAATATTGAGGGACTGTATTGCAAGTTTTAAAAGTTTGGGGACCTAAATGCAAGCTTCAGAAATGTTCAGTGACCATTACTATACTTTACCCTAAAAATTAATATCTTTAAGAGAAGAAGATAAAAAGAAAATTAAAAAAATGGAGACAAAGGAAGCCGGTGAATTGTATCCTCCTTGAGCTTCTGTGAGATTTGCGTTGAGAGGAAAGAAAACAATCAGATGTTCAAAACGGAAAGATGCAATCACTCTTATTGTTCCTGATTGTATGAGCAAGCATATTTTGACTAGGGTTGAAGAAAGTGTGACCATCCTAAGGTGCCCTGGAGTTTATTAATGCATCCCAGAGATTTTACTGCCCTTTTAGGGATTGCTCGGCCTCGTTGCTGAATGACGGAGGGGAAGTTATTAATTATTAGAGAATCTGAATGCCGTTTTTTTTCCATAGATTGTTTTGTGCACAGTGTTATGTGCCATGGCACCCGGGGATTGAATGTGCGGAATTCCAGATGCTTAATGAGGATAAAAGAGGCAGAGAAGATCTCATGGTGGGGGAACTTGCCAAGGAGGAAAAATGAGCTAGGTGCCCCAAGTGCAAATACTATGTTGAAAGAACAGTTGGTTGCCCACGTAGGACTTGCAGGTCAGTTGAAATGTTCGAATAATTTATAATACTGATTCATCAATGATAATGAACAACTTCCCTTTTCTTCAGAATTTGGGTGATTAGATATAGATTCTATCCTTGCTCATACTGGAATGGGAAAAATTCCCTTGAAGCCATATATGTGTTTAACCCGTAGTCCTTAGAATTGCATAATTCAAAACCTGTTAAAAAGAGTTTGGGGTTGGCAAGAGAGTTGTCCTATGATTGGGGTTGCAGGTGTAAGTTCCAGTTTTGTTATGGTTGATGCCAATCACGGTGGTTGCCAGTGGAATCAAGAGCACAACAACTCAACAATACCACAGTAATGTTACCATCCCTAAAGATGGTTTTAGTCTCTTAAAAGAAACCATTTGCATCAAATGCGGAGCAAGTTTAATTTGGTTTAATGATCTAGTTTGCGAAAGATCAGACTATTTGTTCAATTTAGTACCAGGAATTGCTCGTTATTATTCTAGTGTGTGAATGATGTTTATCTATTGGAGTTTGTTCTTGATTGATCAAGTAAGTGGTTCATTTTGAGGTGGTCAATTTGTTTAGTTTACAAGCCGAAATGCACATGAAAACGTATAAAACCATAAGAACTGTATCCTAGAAGCTTATGAAAGATGAGCTATTGTAAACATGCTAGCAATTTTAGTATTTCACTATGGCCAAGTGAATGAATAAACTGCTAAAGTACTTTAATAGCAATGCTTGATTGAAAAGGATACCAATACTCCCTTATGACCTTTTGTTTTCTTAAGCTACTGCATTCTGTATATTGTGTTCTTTTCTGATCGGTTTTAACCAAAACAAGTAAATTTAGATATACAGATAAAATATCTTGTACCGTTCTTGAGAATAGGTCTTAGGTCAATTAAATGATAATTTTAGGCACTTCTCTCTATTCATAATCTTGGGAGAACTTTTAAGATCCCGTTCTTGAATGTTCAGTAGCAGAGTAGAAGCAAGCTAACAGAACAGGTAATATCTCACTCTCATGAAGGACATTCCAGTGCAGTGAGTCTACTTTCAGTTTCGTTTTCTCTTGTAGGAATCTGTATTTCACAAAGGAAACCAATGCTTTGGTATGCAACATGAGATCTTCCAGTCTGGTAGACCTCACACTTTTACTCAGTATCACAGCTATGCGATTGTCATTGTCCTGCACCGGACTAGGATCAGTTGTGTTGCGCGAAACCAGTAAAGTGTCCCTGTTCTAGTGAATAGTGATGATGGGGTGGGGAACCAAGGTGTCATGATCCAGGCCAAGTTTGTGCATGTTTGCTTTTAGTTCTTAGCCTGCGAAACATTGCACGGCTGGAGCTCCTCCTGCCGCACTTTGTTTTAACAAATACAGTGGGTACGGAAGCAGAACAAACGCAAGCCTGATCAGAGATATTGCTCCAAAAGTGGGATATGTTCTACTTTACCAATGAAATCACCTATATTCTTCCCTCCCCCACCATATATCAATCAATATATAAAGCAGTGATAGTCTTTAAAATTGCAGTCTAAAGTCCATTTGCAGCAGACACATCAAACATATGTGCATCAGGTCCATCCTAATCCACGCAAGCTGAATCACTTTCTTCTAGAAGTGTATGTATATTCTCTACTTTTCCTTGGTGCCAATATGTTGGTTGTATAACAACAAAATTTTAGCTCCGTATTAAGGATAAAACGAGGCAGAAATATCTTCAACCTAATGATGATGAGCGCTAGGAACTACTGCAATAGGAACAAATCCTTAATCATTTGTCAATAGTGGTCTGATGAGCCTAATTCTCATAATTGAGGATGGCAGCGTCTTTTTTTTTTAGCGACAAAGACAAGATACTTGATAAATGGAATAATAACAATTAGTTGGTTTAGTAAGATGAGACATTAATTTTTTTAAACAAGATTAGGGTTTAAATCTTGAGACAAACTAGGTTAAAAGGGTCGTCCCATATTAGGTCTTTGTAGTATGTAATTTCAGATTAATCGATTAATATATTAGATTAGATAATTATAAAAAAAGAAATTATTTAATTCATGTGTAAGTTATAGATTGGGTTTTGAATAAAAAATGATATCTCCGCAGGCAATTCACAATTACAAGAGGGTTATTTAAAAATTAAAATGCATGGAAAAGTCGAATCAGCGAGCAATGCTCATGTCCTGCCAGATATAATAATAATAATAGGAGTCGGCTTCATTGATATTTTTATATTCCTTTTCTTTCACGTATACGAAATCTAGTTCTAAAATGGAAATTTAAAACTAAGTTACCCGTATTGGAGATAGTATATATATGAAGGATTATATTTTCATATTATTTCTCTGTACAAATGTCGAAAATTGGAGAGGGTGAGTAGTATATAACTAAAAGCACAAGTGGAGGACCAAAAATGAAGTAATTGTTTGAGGACCCAAAAAAACTAAAAGCACAAGTCAAAGTTTCATCTCCACTTATATTTGTTTATTCTTTTGGTTATTTGGGAAACTAAAGTCAGTCTCCGTTGCTTAGTTGTTGATAAATTGCTTGGATCGTAATTGACATTTTCCTAGCAACTTACGCGAAAGTTAAATCAGAAAGGCCGTGTTCCTAGCAAGTTGTCTTCAAAGTTACGCCATTTATATACCCATTTTACAAATCACGGCTATTTAACTGAAAGTAAAGAAGGCAGGAACTTCAATTAAGTGCGTGAAACATGGCAAATGCTTCATCTTATTTCGATTTTGCAGGAGAGATTGACTGGTCTGCTCTCTATGGAAACTATGATGGGGATTTGGAAGATTTAGATGCCAAAATCGCTGAAGAGTTGCAGTTTCAAGAAGCAATGTTGCTCTCAGCTAAAGAAAACATCTCGCCTCCATCCTCAACCTCAAGGGCCACTGAAATCCTATTGAGCTCATTGATGCCAAAGCGAAAGTCAAAAAGATCTGCGGAAAAAGCCGGTGAATCCTCCCGAGTCTACTGTGAGATATGTGTTAATGGAAAAGAGAGGCATCAAATGTTCATAATCTCGGGTTGCTCTCACTCGTTTTGTGTTGATTGCATTAGCACATACGTGAAGACTAGGCTGGAGCAACATATAACCATAATCATGTGCCCCGGGGAGGGTTGTGGAGTCATGTTGGAGCTTGAAGCATGTAGGACTCGGCTTCCTAAAGAGTCGATCGATCGTTGGGAAGATTTATTATGTGAAGAGCTACTTTGCGCAACGGGTGGGAGGCTTTACTGTCCTTTCAAGGATTGTTCAGCTTTGTTGCTGAATGATAACCAAGGAGAAATAATAGCAGAAACCGAGTGCCCAAACTGCCATAGATTGTTTTGTGCTCAATGTAATGTTCCATGGCATCCGGGGATCAGCTGTGAGGAGTATCAGACGCTAAGTGAGGATGAGAGAGGAAGGGATGACCTCATGGTTAGGAACCTTGCCAAGGAGCAAAAATGGCGTAATTGTCCCAGCTGCCGTTTCATGGTTGAAAGAACCGAAGGATGCCCGCATATGACTTGCAGGTTAGTCTATGATTCATGCTTGCTTAGAAAGTACTTCGAGAAATTCGTGTTGCTTATGTTCAACACTAGTTTCGTTTTGAAATAAACCTATTGGTGCAAAGAAATAGCTATTGATTAACCGAGATCACTAGACTTCGTTTATGCTTGTGGTTGCAGGTGCAAATTCCAATTTTGTTATGCGTGTGGAGCTGAATGGACTCATGATCATGGCGGCTGCCAGGGCAACTAAGAAATCATGTATAGAGTGACAAGGATAAGAATGTGAAACATCAATTTTAGTGAAATTATTTTCAATAATTGACAGTGTCTCTTAGCATCCGGATGTAAAACAGTCTATCCTGAAATTTGGTTTATGTTTAATGCTCTGTAAACCAGGAAGCATACGGTGCAATAAATGATTTGGTACAAAATTTGAGTCACTTTGTGAACATCATTTGGCTTTGTTTTGATGCTATCTGAAAGTAATTTCTAAGAGAACTCCGCAAAATTAACAGATTAATTCCACCAAGTGAAACCCACACGTCTAGAATTCATTTTTCTTTCATTTTCTTGAATAGTACATTTTAGTTTTCACCTAATCATCAAAAAACAAAATAAATAAGACAGGTTTTCCCAAACCTAATTATTAATCAAATCCAAATTCCAAATGAATTATGTCAATCTGATAGCAACCCGTTTATTTATGGACTAATTCATTTACATTCGATCATTGCACTACTTCCAGGTACTTCACTTGAAAATTAATTATTGGTTAAAACTGCTGGCTCATAATTCATAATTGGTTCTTGCTTCTTTCAATTTTCACATTTGGCTCTAGCTAGGCTAAAGGTTGTACAGGACCTGGTACTTTCGTAACACAATCTGCTTTGAGTTAAAAGTTATGAACTTTAGCCATTTAAGTTTCGAAAAGGTGGCTGAAAAGGAGAATCACATAACTGTAACTTGTCTGTTTGTGACGCCAAATTTTCCAATACCTGCCATCTATCCATTTAAGAAGAACCACATAACCCCAAAAAGTTGCTTATTTTACTGAGAACCCAGATGGCTCTCTTCAGAGTCCCTTGTTCTTTCCCTTCTACTCTCCCTTCATCCTTTCCAAAGCTACTGTCGCCAGTTCCTTTTCAATTTCTTGTTCTTCAAAACATACTCCCAATCAACTAAAAAATGACGGTGATGACAGTAATACTGATAATCCCAAGAAATCCAAGAGATTATCGGAGCAGTCTTCCTGGGAAACCAAAGATTCTGAAGGGAGAGATTATCTTTACAGGCTTGGCCAAGAGGCTGATAACATGAACATTGCAGTTGGTGATAAAGCTGGTGTGATTGATGATCTCTTTACTGGGAATTTTCTTGGCAAAGACTGTAATTTTTCCTCCCTTTGCTTTCCCTGTTTATATATTTGACTTCTGACAATCTGTTTAAAGAAATGAAATTGAAGATTCGTTTTTGTTTTTATTTGCAGCGGATATTGTGTTTGATTACAGGCAGAAGGTAACAATTCCTTGGATTTCTTTTGGAAAAGTTTAGTTAAAGTTGGCTTTTTATGATTCAGGTTGATAGGTTTGAACTAGAATGTGATTAGCTTTACAGGGTCTTGTTTATTTTACGATACTTTTTTTTTCTAACCTAATGGGTTTTGCACCTTAAATTGAATTTGAGGTGAGCTTTAAGGATTGCAAATGGATTTTGTGAAATTCTTTCAATTTTGGTTTGAACTAAAGAAGAATTGTGCTACATTTTGGAGTTTTGAAATGGGTAAATTTTGGTGGTTGATATATGAACTCGTACTGCTTTCTCATGTTCACAAGCTGCTTGTTATATGACACACTGCCTTTTATGTCAAATATGCTCTTTTCCTGTGATTGATATATAATAATCCTCAGTTCAACTTTACTACCCGGTTTGAATTTAGAGTCTTTATTCTCTAGTTGCTTTTAATTCAGTTTCAGTTGTTATGTAATTACTTTTATCCAAATATTCTGAGTTTACTGCATCAGCATAGGAACCGTTTTCTTTACCCAAAATATGGAAATTCGCCATGTTTTTGCTGCTGTTATTCTTGCATTTCCTTTCTTCTTATTTTGTGTTTATTGTGATTTGTCAGAAGCTAATGATATATTATGTTTTCTTTTCTCATTGACAGGATAAAATTGGTAAGTTCTATAAAATAACGCAAAGATGACAAGATCACCATGAATGATACAGGAGCCGTAGGAAATCCAGCAGAAATTAGTGAACTGTGCATTCCTTTAGTTCCCCCCCCCCCTTAGAATATCAATAGCGTTGGTGTTTCTGTTACAAGCTTTAGTAGGGGGGATACATCTGATATATCACTGTTGATTCTTCCGCCATAATCTTATTATCTCCGATGTGCGATCTTCCACTTGCCAACCTTCTCTTATATTGTAACTGGATTCTTAGCTTTTTATATTACTATTATGACTTTTCAAATTTGACAACAAATTAAAATCATATCATCATTTGTCTTCTCACATATGACCTATTTTCCGGTTCTACTTACTGTAGCATGCCATATCGTTAAGAACTACATTGCTCATCTTCTCAATGTGAAAGTTCCTTTGATTCTAGGTATGCATTTGAAATATCTTATATGGACTGCAGATTCTTTTTTTCTGACGTGCATTTCTCACAAAATCATGTAGTATCTTGAAATTCTCCATTATTTAATTTGTGAAACATTGGATTTTGACTTACAGGTGTCTGGGGAGGGAAAGCCAGAAAGGCCAAGGGAAAACATTCCAAACTGAACTCATTTTTCAGGCTATGGGGATTGTACCTGTCATTATGTCTGCTGGGGAACTAGAATTTGAATGGGCTGGTAAGACAAGTTTTCACTGTGTTCCCTTCCTTGCTGATATATGTATACATATGTCAAATGCTATTTTTCTGAAAGAATATGAGGAGATTCTCTCCTTTTAGTTATTTTCCTTTTATGTGAAAAGACATAATGTATTCAAATCATTGTTCCCTTAACAGGAGAACCAGGAAAATTGATACGTGAACGCTACAGAACAGCTTCCCAAGTGGTTCAGATCCAAGTTAGAAGCTTTATCACCCTCATTCTTCATATATGTATGTCTAGGTTTATGAAGTTGAAGTTTAATAATACTCTTTAATACCTTCGGTAAAATCTGTATGTGATATTAACCTTTCACTAGGGTATATACTATGATATACAATGTGTCAATGAACGATTTATTCCTCCATTATCTTTTTCAAGTATATTGTTGTCCTCTTAAGATGATAAGATGAAATAGAGTAACTTTGTTGTCAGCAATTCCTATTTCCATCTCCGATTTTGAGGAGTTTATCAGTGCCCGACAGAGATGGGAAGGGAAAGGCTAAATTTGTTCCCTTGCCGTAGACAGAACTATGGCAAACTTATAAGCATGAAAATAGAAACTCTGTATGCTGATGTATGTTCCACATCAATGTTAATGGCTTTCTGCAACAGTTCTTAATTGCTTGTTTGTTTGAATTTTCTGAACTAATGCAGGGGAAGATGAGTTGTCTGATGATCAATGACATTGATGCCGGCCTTGGTAGATTTGGTAAGCTAATGTTATTCTGGCAATGAAAACCTTGAACTGTACCAGATATTGCTTTAAGTTCCATACATTCCTTTGATTAATAAGTTCACTTGTTTACTGATTCATTATCTTGAACTTTATATATTTTCTCATCTTATCTAGGTAATACTCAAATGACAGTAAACAATCAGATTGTTGCTGGTACCTTAATGAATTTGTCAGATTATCCAACCAGAGTTAGCATTGGACAAGATTGGCGAGAATCAGACATAACAAATAGAGTCCCTATCGTAATCACAGGGAATGATTTTTCAACCCTTTATGCTCCGTTTATTCGTGATGGCAGGATGGAAAAGTTCTACTGGTACATGATAATAAAAACTACCATCTTTTATTCGCTTTAATGTGCTATTGATGTCGAGTTCTCTCATTCTTTGCTCCATTTTCTTTTTGCATCTTTACCGTGTTTGTCCTTGTAAATGTCGATGAATAAAATTATGTTTCCCTCCCACCTAATATATTATCGAACACATCATTTGTGATACAGGCAGCCTACTCAGGAAGATATTGTGAACATTGTTCACAAATGTATGAGAAAGATGGCATATCAAGGGATGAGGTTGTAAGCATTGTGGAAAAATTTCCCAACCAAGGTATTTTTGGATCCTGCATGATCTCCATGATTAGATTTTGTCTATCATTTCTGTAGCAAATGTGTGGAGGGAGCAACAATGATTATCATAGAGTCCTGATTCTTACCTGCTTAAAGTATATGGTATAGAGTGCATATTGAATTGTTTTTTCTCCATGGTTTTTGGGCAGGATTTTTATGGAGCTCTTAGATCCCGTACATATGATCGATCAATTTCAAAGGTATGTATGTAACTCTTCGTTTATGGTGGGAAGGTATGTAATTTGTGCATACCTTTTTTTCGCCACCATTGGGACATATATTATGTCATTGATTCAAAGAATAGAAGTAATTCAAAAGTATTTTCATCATCTTACTCGTTTCCCATTGCAGTGGGTTGAGGATATTGGAGGAGCTGAAAACCTTGGAAACAAGCTGCTGAGACGAAGAAAGGATGAAGAGCTCCCCGTATTTACTCCCCCAGAGGTAGTAGTATGATCATCCTAAACCATCTTTTAGAGGCTAATGCGTATGCCGTTAACAAAGTTTTCAAGGAAAATTGGTTAATACATTCATTACAAGGGCTTTACCCAGTTTTCACAGAAAATAACATTGGCTTTTGATATAAAAACATATTGAAGATGGTTTTAGCTTGCAGTAGTTGTGGATTTTGGATGTGATTGACCATTTGACTGGGAGTGGGATTTTTTATTGAATAAAAAACGGTGGAGGCCTTACTTGAATCAGGGTATTCTCTCCTCAGGGACCAACAGCTAATAATGGAGACTAAACTTTCAGAGGAGTACATGAAGAACATTGATGACTGACTTCAAAATATTTTCACCACTGTTAACCTCTGTCTGTATTTTGTGCGCGCGCGCGCGTTTCTGGTTTTTATTGAGATGTGGTGTTAAATCATATATAACCTAATTTAGATGCACACATATTTGTCTTGTGGTTTTTTATATTGTATATAACTATTACCATACGATTTCAATTTAGCTAATTTAATTATTGGACACGAACTAATATACCTTAATGATTAAAAGAATTGTTGTTGGTCGTTGTTCTTAGATGTAACGGGTTCGAGCACCAGTGGCTGCCGTAGGATGGTTGAACATTTATTATCAAATAGTTAAGAGTATTTAGAATTTATATTATATAATTAGGGTGCTCGATTACAAATATCGAATCAATTTGAAATGTTGTACATTTGTAGACAGTGATTAAATATGTATTAAATTTTAGTAGAGGAAAAAAATGACAAGTATAATTTTATTATTAAATTTAATGATAAAACTTATTAAATATTAATAATAAACGATATAATAAGAACATGCATGATTTTACATCAGTAAA